AAAAAAAAATCAATTTGCACCCTAGATATGGTCAAAATTAGTATCCTCCAATAATGAATCTCGACCATCTATTTGGTGAATTTAAAGATCTAAACCCTTACAAATTCAAAAATTACTTTTTTTCTTTTTTAGCATTGTTAATCTAATGATGATAACACTATATAAAAGTTTTGGGAATGAAAAAATTCTTTGGAGGCCTATATCTAACAATCTCATTAAAATGGAAGGTTTATATTAATTGGGCTAGAAAAACACTTTCTAGGGTGTTTTTTTCAACATTTTCTTTTTTGTGATTATTCTTTAGAATGAAAAGAGTATACATCTAAAAAATTGTGTTGAACAAATGTCTCTAAAATGGTTTTTAATGTAGTTACATTATATTCTGATACAATCGTTGCATGAATTCATTGCCCACATATATATGTATATATATATATATATTCTGGAGTTCGTATTTATATTCAAACGTCTCAAGCTGTCAAATCTCTCAAGCCTTTGCATATTCTGGTCACCATCACAGGTCACCATCATCGACAAACGTCACTTCACCGACAAAAGTTACCATCATCGACAAACGTCACTATCAGCCAACTACCGAAGGAATCTTACTGTAGTGTCGGTGCGGATTTTAAAGGTTTCAAATCCGTTTATTCTGAAGCCTATAAGAAGGGAAGGCTTCGCTCATTTCAGGCATCCTGAGTTTTCCTAAGTGTTCTGCTCTCTACAGCCCTCTCCCTCTCTCTACAGTCTCCCTTGTGCTCTCTCTAAAGTGTTCTGCTCTCTGCAGCCCTTTCTTTCTACAGTCTCCCTTCTGCTCTCTCTAAAGTTCTCTACTATCTGCAGCCCTCTCTCTCTCTATAGTCTCGCTTGAGCTCTCTCTGAAGAGTTCTACTATTTGCAGCCCTCTCTCTCTCTACTGTCTCCCTTATGCTCTCTCCAAAGTGTTCCGCTCTCTGAAGCCCTTCTTTCTCTCTGCAACTTTCTATAGTGTTCTCTCTGCAACTTTCTACAGTGTTCTCTCTGCAACTTTCTACAGTGTTCTCTCTACAACTCTCTACAGTGTTTTCTCTGTAACTTTCTACAGTGTTCTCTTTGCAACTTTCTATAGTATTCTCTCTATAACTTTCTATAGTTCTTTTTCTGTATATCTGGTGGCGTATCAAGCCATTTAGTTCTTTTAGTCTCTCTAAGAAGAGTGTGAGTGTTATGTGTGATTGTTTTTGGGACGAAATTCCTGTTCATATTCCAAAGCAACTGAAACTATTCACCAGCTTCTGTATTTGTCAAATGTAAGTGTATTTTAATTGTTAAAGTTTTAATACTCTGATAATAGTATTTTGTGTTTATTTCCTGCTATGCTCCATGTGATATGCGAATATGCTACATTTGTTTTAGTTCTGCTTGATGGTATCAGAGCGTAGTTTATATTACAGTGGTTTAACTGTATCATTAGTAGAAAACTAAACTATTAAATAAAATTCTGAGAACAGTTTGCAGTAGTAAGTTCAAAGTCGTCGTGACCCAAAGATCACTAAGGCCAGGAAAGAGCCAAAAAAGTGTAGGGACTGTTTTCGGTTGACTCGAATTACAATGGCAAACTTTATCGGAACTCTATCTAATAGGTCAGCTACTACTAGTAATACACTACGCGTGAATAACAGTGAGGAAATAATAATAGATCATATAGAGAAACAAATCCAAAACTGGAACATACCTAAGGTACCTGTTTCAGATGTCTATAGTAAAGGAATGTTTGAATTTAAAACTAGTTTTTCTATTAAAACTATTGAACAAAATGTTTCCGTCATGGAAACTCAGGATAAATTCCAATTACTTTCCCCAAGAATGATTGAAGATCATAAAAGGAAAGATTACAAGTATTTACATATCGGTCTTGTACAAATAGCTGTCAAACCTCTGAAAAGAACATGATTAAATAATTCTGTTCTGCTCTGTCTAAGAGATAGCAAACATAAGCGATTCACTGATTCATTGTTAGGACTAGTAGAATACAGTCTCTATAATGACCCCATTTATTTCAATTGTTTTCCGAATTTCTCTGTGGCCTTAACAGATCCGAACCTATTAAAGGTCTTGACCCTAAATCTTAAAACTCAAGGTTATGATATGGACCCAGGTTCCCAAAATTTAGCATTTGTCTACCGAATGTATTATAAGGTAATGAATATCTTATGTCCAAATGCTAGTCAAATGGATTCTAAAGGACAAACAATATTTTTCCAAACAAACATAGAAAAATCATATCTTGTCATACCCATGTCTGTAGCATGGTCTTAAGTAAAACTACCAGAAAGATGGTCTTTACAAACTGAATCCCAAATTAAAACCCTTGAGAATAAAGACCCTGAACAAATAATAGAATATTCAGATGGAGAAAAAGAAA